CTCACAGCCGGACACTGCGAATTCTTCAACGAGCGGTCCTAGGATGCACCAAGGGCGAGGTGTATTCAAATTTTAACGTCCTAAGGGGAGAACACCCCTGAAACAACGAAACGAATCATGAAAGGCAAGCATAAGGAGAAGAAACTTACCGTCTCAGGGGGTTTGGAGACCCAGAGACCGGCGCGGGAAGAGTGCGGTCCCAGCAATCCCCGTGTCGATGGGCTTGTCCCTAAATCAAGCGATGGGCCAAATGAAAATGAAACCACAAATGTAGCACTGCGTCCTGATTGGACAGGCGCAGTTGCTATCACAGAAACGGCTAAGGAAGCCACCAAGGAGGTGGATATCGAGGAAGAATACGACAAAGGAGTGGATCTTGCGAGGAGGATTATCGCGGACATAGATAATTCATCACCCGAAGATACTCAAGCCCCTGATAACACGAAAACTGATCCCACGTTCGTCCCTCCTGGAGTGTCTGACTCGGATGAATCGTTACATCGGGATGAGCATTTAACTGAGGATGTGGTAATGATTGCAGACGACGACGATGATGAGGATATACCTCCGCCTATCCCAAACAGGGAAAAGAGGAAGGAGAGATTTCCATCAGATTCTCCAGACAATGCGGCCAAACCTCTTAAAAGAAGATATACAACCTCAGAAAATGAAATCTATACTCCTGTTTTAACTGCAAAACACAAGCTCACTATTCATCCGGTAACTGCCACCAATTTACGCTCATATAATACAGAACAGTTGACTAAATGCGCCACTGAATGTCTCGAAAAAATGGAGACCATTCGAACAAGCAGCAGAAATATTAAAGGCAACTTCTCGGGCTATCTCAGAGATGGGATTGCAAACATATTTGAAATTATAGATATCTATCGAGAGCGATTGGGCGCCGCTGGTGACATCGCGGATCTTGAGCTACAGAATAAAAACTTAACAACACAACTGCGTAAAATTACCCGTGAGCAGGAGCTCCAAAAGAAGGAGTACTCCATGCTACGCAAGGAAAACGAGGACCTCCGTAGGGATATGGAGATGCTCCGAAGGGAAATGGCAAGTATGAGGGATGCCGCAAGCATGGGATCCTCTTCAAAGGTTTTTGAGAATAGTCCTGCTGATACCCGCAAGGCTAATATCAAGGAGTCAACAATTCGCATGGAAGACTATCCCCCTCTCCCGCAGAGAAAGCCCAGAGTTATTTCCTCCGAAATACTACGGGACAAAGCCATCAAATTGCGAAAGCACCCTACGAGTGTTTCTGGATCGGAGACCGATTTAATGGAGGCTCCTACCTCGAGCAATAAGAGATCCCCATCTGGAAGGAACAAGAAACCCGATCTTTCCACGCAGACTCCTACGCGTATCTTATATCCAGAGGACGACACCGGTACAAACCATATGATCGAGTGTATGAACAAACAGATAATGCAACTGGTTGTCAACATGGAGGAGCTGCGCTCGAGATTTGGCATAAAATCAATAGAACCCCCGAGCATTCAGAAGAAGAGGAGGACTAAAAGAACCTCCTTTAAGACGGACACTACCGAGACTTCCGGCATTTCTGATAGAGAGGATTTGGTCCCACAGATCTCTGCGCCTTCTGCTGACGTCGCACGAAATATGGCGTCCGCTCGTAATGATGGATCTCGGCGAGGAACTCTCAGTGGTGGCCCTCATTCGAACACTCGCCCGCGCAGGCCACCGAAAACTGCGGCGGTTTCAATCACAAGCCTCAAAGAGAATGTCAGTTATGCCGACATTCTGAAAAAGGCTCGTGAGAGCATTAATTTAGACACCTTAGGCATCGAGACCTCAAAGACGCGGCATCAACGGCGGGGTGATTATCGAGATACCCGGCGTGGACAGCATTTCTAAAGCTGACACATTAGTGGGAAAGCTGAAGGAGGTGTTGGATAATAACAGCATACGCATCCCTCGCCCGACCACCATGGGAGAATTGCGCATCTGGAACTTTGACGATTCCATTTCCCCAACGGAGATTCTCAACGAAATCTCCGTGGTTGGAGACTGTGACGAACATCTTGTCAAAATCGGTAACATCCGCAAGATGAATAACGGGCTCAACTCCGCATGGGTCAAATGCCCACTGTCGGCGGCTATAAAAATATCGGCAACAAGCAAGTTCAAAATAGGCTGGACAATCGCGCGGGTCGAGTTACTCGAAACAAGACCCGTCCAGTGTTACAAGTGTTGGCGCTTTGGACATGTCCGCACGTCTTGTAACTTCCCCGAGGATCGGACTGGCGCCTGTTTTAGGTGCGGTGCGCGCGGTCATCAGATTGGTGACTGCGGAGAGGCTCCCTGCTGTGTGGTCTGTAGAGACGCTGGAAGATCCAGCGACCACCGGTTGGGATCGCTCAACGTTTGCGCAAGTGTTGAACCCATACGTAAGAGACGCGGGGACCCCATAACTAATGGTCGAGTGGCGACGCAGAGATGACTCTGTGTCTACAACTGAACCTTAACGGCAACAGGGAGGCTCAGGACCTCCTTGTTCACCATTCAAGAGAAATGGGGGCTGCCATTTGTGCGATCTCGGAACCCGCCCGAACGCACAGCCCTCATCAATTATGGTTTCACAGCCACGATGGTCTTGCGGCCATCTTTGTCAACAATAGGGTCACGGCGCATCCCGCCACTCTGGAAGCCCGTGGTATACACTGCGTACTGATCAGGCTGGGAGAAATACATATTTTATCATGTTATATATCTTTCCGAACGTGGATTTTCCGACTTTCTCGGACTTTCTGGAGGAACTATCCAATGTTTGCTCCGGCGTAGCGCACAACAACAAGCTTGTCATCTGTGGAGATTTCAATGCCCACTCTCCCTCTTGGGGATCGAGCACCTCAAATGTCAGGGGCGAGGCTCTCGAGGAGCTTGCTTCACAACTTGATTGGAGGTTGGCGAACCAGGGTGATCGCCCCACTTTCTCGAGCCATCAGGGGACCTCGATTGTGGATCTCACCTGGATCTCTTCCGATTTATCCGGCAGAATACGCGGTTGGTCGGTTTGCGACGACCTGGAGTCTATGTCCGACCACTTCTGAATCATCGACTCGGCGTATATTGCCACCCCAGCCCCGCAGATGGAACTTTAGAAAGATGGATATCGGGCTTTTTCAGGAAGCCATCGAATGGAGATGTGCGGTCACTCCTGGTGATCCGGAGTACATGATCGGGGTTGGTCCGGATAGATGGATTAACAACTGTATCCATGATGCTTGTCGGGCGGCGGTCCCTCGTCTGCGCGCTGCTAGGGTGGACCGAGCGCACTGGTGGAACGACCAGATTGCATAGTTGAGAACTGTGGCCATAGCCGCGAGGAGGGCCTGGACTCGCGGCAGGTGCAGGGATCTCCCAGAAATTTTAGAAGCCAAAAGAATTGCGTATATTGCCGCCACCCAGAACCTTAAGCATGAGATACGAAATGCCAAGTCTGCCGCCTGGCAAGAGCTTATCGACACGCTAAAGGATGATCCTTGGGGTCTTCCTTACAAGCTAGTTCTGGGAAAACTTAGAAAACCCACTCCGGGACTCAGTTCCACCCTTGAGCCAGAAGTCCTGAACCATCTTTTGGACGATTTGTTTCCACCTGGCCGGGTACTGTCCAGAGTCGATCTGGGTGATTGCGAGGAGGGAAGGACCCCCGTCACTCTAGACGAGGTGAAGGAAGCTATAGCGGCTAAGAGATCCGGCAACACGGCGCCCGGTCCGGACGGCTTTAAGGCGACTGTCCTAAAGAAGTTGCCTCCTGTTATGGTACACCGACTGACTATTAGCTTCAACATATGTATGCAGTCTGGGGTCTTCCCATCAGAGTGGAAATTGGCGGACCTCGTATTAATCCCTAAAAGAGACATTCCTCCACGCGGCGAGGTTCCTAAGGCGAGGCCTATTTGCCTTTTGAATGAGACTGGGAAGGTTTTCGAGCGCATCATCGCCAACCGCCTAGCCACCCATCTTGATCGGAATCCCAGGTACGATCTATCGGCGAACCAATTTGGTTTCCGGAGGATGCGCTCGACAACCGACGCTCTTTTCCTAGTCAAGAGCATAATTACCGAGGCTCGCGCGAATGGCCGAGTGGTTCTGGCTGTCTCTCTTGACATTAAGAACGCCTTCAATTCTATCAAACACTCCAGAATCAGAGCCGCCCTGAGGAACAACACGTTCCGCGATACCTGAGGCGCATCGTGGAGGACTATCTTAGAGATAGAGAAATCAGATATGTCTCGTCTGATGGCACCCGTCGCACCCGGCGTGTCAACAGGGGGGTCCCTCAGGGATCGGTGTTGGGCCCCCCGCTCTGGAATCTGGGATTTGACCAGGTGTTGCGCACCCTTCTTCCGGGCGACTCCCATGTCGTTTGCTACGCCGACGATACACTGCTCCTCGTCGCCGAGGAGGATTTCGACTCTGCGTGCGCTCTTGCGTCCGAATGCCTGGACAGGCTCATGATAAACATTCGAGACCTAGGCCTATCGATGTCTTGGCCTAAAACTGAGGCCGTCTTCTTCGGACACTGTCCCCGAAATTCGACCTTCGATTACGAGGGATATAGTGTTAAAATTTCCAACAGCATGAAATACCTTGGCGTATACATCGATAAGAAATGGGCATTTAACACCCACGTGAATTACGTTGCCGAAAAGATTTCGAAGGTAAATCGTGCCCTGTGTGCAATCCTACCTAACCTCAGAGGACCTATTGAGAACAAGCGCCGGTTGTACTACTCCGTGGCTACCTCTATTGCGCTCTATGCCGCCCCTATTTGGAGCGATGAGTTTATGGCCTCCGAGAATAAGCAAAGACGGATGCGCCGTGCGCTACGACTTTCGGCGTTAAGAACCATAATGGCCTATCGTACTGTTTCATATGAGGCGGCTACGCTCCTCGCCCGTGTTCCGCCTCCGCATTTGTATGCAGATTTCTTGAGAAGGACATACTTCCGACACCGAAGAATGAAGGAGAATGGAACGTACAACGAGGTATCGGCTCCGGCTGTACGCTTGGAAGAATGGGAGGCACTACGAGTGCAATGGCGCGCTCACATCGCGCAGGGAAACCTTCCGGGAAGAAGAACAAGAGAGGCGATCGGCCCCAGTTTCGAAGACTGGCTAGATCGCAGTTCCGGCTTCCTCACTTACAGACTGACTCAGTTTCTAACAGGTCACAGGTGTTTTGGCACCTACTTACACAGAATTGGTAAGGAGGATACCCCAATGTGTCGGTATTGCGATGTGGAAGAAGACACCCTAGAGCACACCCTGGAGGTTTGCCATTTCTGGGCTCTAGAACGCGGTGAACTCGCTGCTGCGATAGGTCAAAATCTCTCTCTGGGAAACATCGTTGCTCGGATTTGCAACTCGAAAGAACAATGGAACGCATTTTCGGTTTTCGCTGAGCGCGTTCTCCAGCGCAAAGAGGAAGATGAGCGAAGGAGGCAACAACAGCAAATCGATCCGGGATAATTGCGTTCTCCGCGATGTCACTGCGACTTTGTGTACTGCGTGCGTTTTTCTTTTGATGCGATTTATTATGCGTGCGGACGGGGTTTTCTTGCCGTTCCTGGGTTGCCCGGGTGCGGGCCGGTCCTGGCTCTCCTCCTCCTGGGGTCCGGTGCGTCGCTTCGGCGACGTTCCCGGATCCCTGGGGGGTGGTGGGTTGGGGGCGGTCGGCGTGCGGGTTTCCCTATGGGCGACCGGATGGCCCTGTAACAGAGAATAATTTTAGTTTGTATCTATATACATACATATTTAATTGTTTCTTCTGGGAGCCCCGCTGCGATGGGTTGGGGGTTCCCTGGGGGTCGGTCGCCCGTTGTCTCGCCGCTCACCGCTGTGCTTGCGGGGCTCCGGTCCCACTGCTCCGCAGTGGGTTTGCCGGAGGCCCCGTTGTGGCTGCGGGGTGCGGGTGGTCGTCCTTCTGGGTTTCATCGGCCTGCGGCGGGGTTCTCGAGATCTCTTCTCTTTTCGCGCCCCTCCCTCCCCTTCTCCCCCCCTTCCGGGGGG